CCTATATGTCCTGTTCAGTGCGATTTAAGCATGCTCTTGGAGACTTTGCCCAACTGGGGCCTGGAACACCAGCTACTCTCTAATCCTTTAAAAAAAAAACTCTTTTCTTTCTGCTTGCAGAGTTGCCAAGGAGCAGAGGTAGGACCTAGACTTAATGTCACAGAAATGGACAGTACTCAGTGTATTCTAATATACAGAGAAAACACCTAAAGCTAGTTTTTAAGCTGTGATTTGTGACTTGAGGTAAACTAGCTAATTTTAAGTTTTAAAAAAATTACCAATTTGGGAACAGCCTATACATTTCCACAGAACAAACCTTGTCAAAAAGTATTTTTAAAGTGTAACTTACATATTTCAGATGCCATGGAAACCAAGAGGAAGGTAGATAGGAACATCAAATGTACATTTCCCGTCATATCTCTAAACCAAAAATAAAAACATTGATCTCTCAGAACACACTCTGACTGCAGCAGTTATGCTATTGCCATGGTACTGATGTACATCTACTAACAGATAACAGTATCATACCGTGATAAACTGTATCATGTGAGCTGCTCTCTACAGAGTATGTGTGTGTGTGTGGCAGCAGTTTTGCAGCTTTGAGATGATGCTTTTTGTTCTAAAATCAATGCAATAGTTGATGTTCTGTTGAAGCTACTGCTATGACTTGGTTTACTGGGGGTGAGGGAATTAACTCTGCCATGGTGGGCTTCAGGCAGAAGCCTTCTCTTTCTTGGTTGCATTTTTTAAAGGAAGCGAAATGTACTTTGGCATTCTTTTCATAGTCAAGTTTGGAAAAACTATACCTCAATTTAGAAAAAGATAGATCCTAGATTTGAAAACGTATACCCTGGTTTTAAATTAAGCTTACATCTAAATAATTGCTTAGGTGTACAACATCTTTTTGTCTTTCTATGGAAACGGAGGTATCTTCAATGACAGCTTCTCCAGGTAAGTGTTTAGCAGTAGGAATAAAACCAGGTGAGCACCATCAGCAATGCTAACCCGAAGAGGAATTGAAGAAATGGACAAGAAGGTAGGTAAAGCAACGTATACTGCAGTCATATAACAACAGCAGGGCAAACCTCATGCCTCACTGATGTTTTCATTTGTGTCTAATTGATATGCACCTGCTGTAATTCACACCTCAGAGTGTGGCTCAGGCATTCTCCAGCAAACCTGTTTATTGAAGAAAATGGCTTCACTACTGTCCATGGACAGTAGTGTTGACCTAATCTAGGAATATTTCAGGAGTCAGCAGACATGCAATCTAGCCATACTACACATCTGCAAGCATTCTACTTACCATTAACAAAGCCTTCACTTGAACACTGTCCTTCACTGCAGATCACAGAGCTGTGAGTTCCACTGTCATGTATGAGGAAGAAGTGGTTTCATGGTACTACAGATAGAAGATAAGTTTTCAAGATACTGAGCACAAGAGGAGTATTGAAAAACAGGCAAGAAATGTACAGGCAGGGAAAGTACTGTCATCACACTTACTGTGAGGAATTTTCATTTCAATGCCAAAGTTTTCCAGACTAAACAAACATCGACAGACATTATCAAGACCTACGTTGGCGCCAAGTCTGAAATTCAGAACAAACTCAATTTTGAGCTTTCAGAAACGTCATTGCCTTTGAATTGATATGGAAAGTTTCTTCTTTTAGAAGGTTTAATAACATCCAGAGGCTTATTCTTAAACTCTTACAAATAATAACAAAATTTAGTGTTGGAAGAGAAAGCGTGAGAATTTCAGCGTAGGTGTTTTGCAGGGATATTCACAAATCACAGAAAAGAGGAGGTTTAGACTAAAAAAACAGCGTACCAGGATTAGCATCACAGCAGCACTAGTGCCAGGCCTTTTATGGGAAGTGAGTGACCAGCCAGGAGCTCCAAGAAACAATTTGCACGAGGAGCTGCTCGTTTTCATTAGAGCTGGAGAAAAACACCACGTAGCAGCACATGCAGTCTATTCATTTCTTTAATTTTAATGAAATCTGAGGCCAGGCGAATAGATTTTTAGAAGATAGTTTTCAGCA